ATCTCTTGAGCGCATTTAACCACTGTCAATGCTTTGTGCTGGGTTGAAGTAACCCATTTGCTGCTCTGGTTTGGAGCCCTGTGAAGGTGTCCTGCCCACAATCCAATGGCCCCAGTGCTGAAGGACAAGACAACGACCTCTTTGATAGGTGGCCCTCTTGACAGCTTTGCACTAGGCCAGCGGATGTGTTCCTTCAGGATTCTGGGGCCAGCATCCTCAGGACAAGCTGGCACGATGGAAAGGTCATGTACCAAGTCGCTGTAGGCAGGGCTTTGCCTGTTGCTCCGGGATGCAGTGGCAGTGACCATCAGCGGTCTCCACGGTCTGCTGCACAGACAGCTCATTCAGAGATGTCAATGGTCATCTCTGCCCAGCATGAGAACTGCCAGCCCTGGGAGCGCCACACCATCAACCCTTGCCATGGCTGACCTCTGCACAGTGCTGGACGTGCCAGCAGTGTCAGCACTGACTGTGGCATCACCTTCTGGCCTGGGATGGACACGGCATGGAAAGCCCAGCAGAGCTGCTTGATCCCTGCAACAGCCCAGCTGAGGGCAGGTGATGCCACTCCGAAAGAGGGACCCGAGGCAAGAAGACACTGTTGATGGTCTGGAAGGAAACCTGGACTGCAGTTCATCCCTTCCAACCTGCTGCAGGATGAGTGTTGTCAGGAGGCTTTGGTTCTTTATGGATCTTCTCGGTGTTGGGTCACCTCTCCACATCTGAGTAGAAGGGAGGCTTCTCCCCCACCAGAGGTTTCAGCAGGCGGGCAAGTACTTGTCTCTTCCCTTTGGTGCCCAGGAGCTGGACCCGGTGCTTCAGGCAGTGCGAGACTTCAGGAAGTATTAAATAGCTGCTGGATGCGTCACCGCAGCACTTGATCCAGGGCAGTGAGTCACGGCGAGCCTGCCAGCATGGAGGGTGGTGGCACAGGGCCACCCCTCCCCTCCCTGCTTGCTGTTTTCTCATGTATTGGTTTATTTTTTATTTGTGTGCCTGGGGTGAGCATCCCCCTGGCATTGGGTGGGAGAGGAGCAAGAAGGTCAAGTTCATAGTAGGAATAAAATGACTGACAGTACCCCATCATTTTCCTGGAGTGTATCCAAAGGGATGCAGAGCTGCTGTTCCCTGTAGACACCTTGGTGCTTCATAGATGACAGGCTCATCACAGCCTGCTCTCAAGTACAAATACATCTTTATTAACTACGTCTTTATGACTCTAGCCCCAGCCCAAACCCTGACCCAAAAGGCTGGTCTCAGTTCTTCTCAGTTTTAATTACACTTTCTGGGAAGCTCTCCCTGTGGTCCTGCTCTCCTGCCACCTTGCCCTGTACCCAGCTTCCTGCCAGGGAATAGTTAGGGAATAGACATAGTTAGGGAGGTGAGTGAACCCGCAGAACTATGTGGAACCTTAGTGCTGGCAGTATGCTCATCTCAAAACCTTTATGCTCGTCCCAGATGGTCCTTGTTAGGACCTCTGGTAGAGGTCTTTGGGATGCTTTGGGATTTGGGTTGCAGGCTAGCTTTGCTGTTGAGTGCAATATGGGTGTTTTTTCTCTGAACCAGATTTTTTTTTTCCTGTGTGTGGCAAAATGTGGTAGAAAGGGCTCTTGCAAAGTGCTTGCGGTCCTTGGCTGGAAGGTGCTATCTCAGCTTCTGAAGGACCCTGTGGGGAACACGGCAGGGGTGTTCCTGCAAATTGGTGGTGGGAGGGTGAGTACACATGTATTATTTCACATCCAGGGAGATCATCAAGCCCTGGTGAGTCCCAGCAGCCATTGGTATGGCAGTTTGAAGGAGCAGAATGTTCATTCTCCTGCACATGCAGAAATGCTGCTTCATCTCCTCTTCCTTTGGCCTGAAAGTTTCAGGGAGGCTGGGAGACAGCAGTGCCAGTAAACAAAATAAAGCTGCAAGATTTAAGACTTCTTTTTTTTCTTTTTTTCTTTTTTTTTTCTTTTTTTTTTTGTGTCGGCATTTGAAATTCCGACTCTCAGGAAATCTGTTGAAGTCGTGGTATGAATCATCCTTACTCTCAATTTTAGGACCTATCGCATGGGGACGGGAGCAAAAAATTAGTCATTTTTTTTTAATCTGCTTCCAAGAAAAATTGTTTAGAAATCCACAGTGGTGGAGTGGTGGGGAAAAGAATAAAATGAGTGGCCATCACGTGTCCCAGCACCTGCAGCCACCTGCTTGCTTCCCTGGTGCTGTTTTGGGGCAGCAGCAGGGCCTGGCAGCTGCCTGCACTCCTGGTTTGTGATCAAAGTGACCTCCTAAGGCAAATACAAACAGGCAGCTGGAAACCTGCCTCCCGTCCAGAAGCTGCTCTTCCCCAAGAAAAGCAGTTCTTGCTCAAGGAAAAGCCTATTTTTTCTGCTACCTGGTGGTGTAACAAAGGTATCCGCTGTTAATGCAGGTGGTTGGCAGAAAAGCTTGAGAAGAGGAGGGTCGTATTTGCAAGCGGAGCAATGAGACTGTCCCCCAGCTGTTGGGTGTTTTTGGCTGATGGTAAAGAGCTGGGTGGGCTACAGCCACTGTTGGGGGTGAGGTGAAGGCTTTTGCCTGGTGGGATTTTTTGAACTGGGGTGATACTGGCATGGTGGGATATTGAGACTGAGATGCTGTGTTAAGGTTGTGATGTCCCTCCCGAGCAGGAACTGGAGGACGCAAGGAGCATTGGAGGTTTACCTTAGATGAGGATGAACCTTCATCCTGTCAGCTCCCCTGTGAGCCCAGGGTTTTGAAGGAAGAGGGCAGCCAGGCTGGTTTTGGGTGGGAGCTGATCCTCCCTTGGAAGGCAGGAGGGAGCAGCTCCCAGCTCTATTTAGCACCCCCTTCAAGGGGACAGATAACATCCTGTGTCTGGCAGTGAGCTGGGCACAATGACTCCCAAAAACTCCAGTTGTTACAGTGAGTGATCAGTTAGTTAACAGGGACTCCCTGTGCTTGCAAAGGTCTGAGGAAACAATAAAATCGACTGGACTTAGGGGTGCTGGGGAACGTGACAGGGAGAGACGCAGCAAGGACAATGCCCTGGCTGCTTTTTTGTGGGGGCTTCTCTCACACAAGGAGAAAAGCTGGCTGCCACCGCTCCCAGCTTTTTGGCAGTGGTGTGCCACTGCTGGTAAATGATTGCCCGGGAGCGCCAGCCAAGGCGGGGCCAGAGGCTGGTGCAGGGTTTGAACCTAAACAGGTGCCTGGGACCCGTGTGCCGGCAGCCATCCTGCTTCCTCAGCCCACGGCGTTCGGCAACCACTGGATTTCTCAGGCAAGGTGAGACTGTGTGGCGTGACTCAACAAGCTGGGTTATTTTTCTTAATTTTATGCTCCTGGCCTCCTTACCGGGTCATGGCACAGAAGGCAGGATTTGATACTAGCTGGGTGCCTAGCAGGGGGATAATGCTCCCTGCGATGTGTTGCCTCTCTGATTTTGGCATTAGGGTGCTGCTGAGGGGGAGACTGAGGTGTGTCTGTTAGTGTACAGCAATGGTTTCAGGGTGAGCTGGGTGGTTCCGCAGTGACACCTGGACTTTGCTCCGTCCCAGGGGACGGTTGCAGCCGTGAATACGCAGGACAGGGGGAGCAGTGCCAAAACCCAACTTTAAAATTAAATTGGGTCAAATCGTGTAAATTTTGGTGGTTTGGGGCCCACAGGGAGGTCAGTCGAACCCAGCATGCCCTTCATCCCCACCGGTTTTCCCCGGTCGCTCAGCCAAGGCAAACATGAGCTCAGCGCTGAGGTATTTGCGCTGCTCTGTGCCCGTGTTTCGGAGGTGGGCAGGGAGGGGACACCAACAGGACACGGCACCTGTAGGGAACGGCCTCACCAAGACATGCCTTCCCTATTTTCTCCTTTCTCACACCGTGACTAAAAATTCCTCATCACTGGAGATGGGACTCTTCAAACCCCCGCCTTTGATTACTCAAGTAGGCAAAAAAAAATAATGGAGAAGGGGTGTTTAACCTGAGTTCAAGCTTTCTCACAGCCTTGCTGCAAACTTGGGACAGCTGGAGCTCAGGATGGAGGGGCTGCAACCAGATGGGTGAGGTTGGGAAAGCAGTTTGTGACCCTCAGGACAGAAGGCCTGGAAATTTCCTGTCCATGTTCCTCCATCCAGGATTTTCAGACAGGACTGATACTACTAAAAGCAGTATTATAAAGAGGAAAATAGATACATCTTTGTGCAGTGTTTGAAAACAGCGTAAGCTCAAATATTTGAGTTCTTTACAGCTTGTGCTTAATTTTTTTTTTATTTTATGACCATTGCAGTTGTTGAGCTGCTTGAAGAGGCAGGAGTTGGGTGGGCCCAGGCTAACAGGTGTTGTTTTAAGCTAGAAGTAGCTGATGGGTTGGAGTTGAGTCAGGCCACAGTGTTTGTCAGAGCCTGGGCTTCACAATGGGTGTTCATGCCTGGATCCCTCTCCCAAACCCGACTTTTGGTCATGCTTTTGTGCAGAAAGAGGCATTATTTTAATTTCTTAATCCCTCTCTGACAAATTGAGATGAATGTAAATAGATTACAATGTGCATTACCTGCACCTTCCCTCAAAATCTCATTGCAAAAGCAGGCAGCCAGTGGTTTCTCTGCCTTTTCCAATGTTGTTTGGAAAATCCTCTTGTGCCATGCTGTCAAATTGTCAGAGAAATTGCAGTAAAAGTCTAGCAAACCCATTAAAAGTCTGTGCTCGCAGCAGAAATAACCTGGGCATCTTCTGAACACCATGCAGTCTCACAAACCCCATCTCTTCCGCACCACAGGAAGATTTGGACCCACTGCCCAGACATGAGGGGAAAAAATTATTTTTCTTTTTCTTTGCAGATGAATATCATATCAGTGTTTAATAACATCAACAAAAATGCAATCTGTGCAGGGCAGCAGCGAGCCTTGGTCTAAGATTCACCCACGGGATGATGATTTAATGACACTGCTTTTCAAGTGTCTTGTATTCCTTGTTAGTGGCTTGGGATGGAAACCTGGTTTCTTTTCGTCCCACAGGCAGCCTGTCCTGCAATGAGCCAGTGCACCTGAGGCCCGGCAGCCGTGGGGATGGAGCTGAAGGTCTGGGTGGATGGGATCCAGAGGGTTGTGTGCGGTGTCTCAGAGCAAACTACCTGCCAAGAAGTGGTCATTGCCCTGGCACGGGCCATCGGTGAGCCATCTCCATCTGCTGGGGGGATGTCCCTTTGCAGGTGGGGCATCTGCCAAGGGGTTGCCCCATTTGCAGGAGCTTCCTGTGAAAGGGAGACCTTGGGTGGGTGGGGGTCCTGCTCTGCAGCTGTGGGGATGCCGCCAGCCACTGCCTGTGAGGCAGCAGCCTCAGCACACCAGTGCTGGCCACTGCTTTCCCTAAACGATGTGCTCACCTCCCGGCAGGTCAGACGGGCCGCTATGTGCTGGTGCAGAAGCTGCGGGAGAAGGAGCGGCAGCTGCTGCCGCTGGAGTGCCCCCTGGAGTCGCTGGCCAAGTGTGGGCAGTACGCCAACGATGTGCAGTTCATCCTGCGGCGGACAGGCCCCAGCATGGCCGAGCGGCCCTCCTCGGAGGGCGCTCCGCAAGCTCCTGAGAGGACGTTCATCCGGGCCAGTTTGCCCATCAAGCCCAGGCTCACCGGCATGGATGCACCCCGTTCTCGGGAGCCAAAAAAATCCATGACCTTCAACTTGGGTCCTACAGGCTCCAGTGACCCCTTCACCGTGAGCCGATGGAGGCACCAAACACGGGAAGGAATAGACTTGGAGGGTGGTGGGATTGTCCAGCCCTCCAAAGAGGAGCTGTTTAGGAGGGTGCTGCAGCAGCAGGAGCAGCTGCATTCCTTGGAGGCCCATGGGGACACCCTTGAAATGGACCTACGGCTCTGGGAGCGTAGCCGGCTTGCCGGCCAGGAGAATGAGATCCTCTATCTGGAACAACTGGTACGAAGGAATGAGACAGAGCTGGGCGAGGAGGAATTTTGGCAGAGCGAGCTCCGACTGGAAAAGGAGTGTGAGCGAGAGCGGCAGGAGCGGGTTAGAAGCCTGCGGGCCAGCCTGGAGGAGTACACCCAGAGGATCTATGAGCTGAGTGCCCGGACTGAAGCCCTGCAGGAGGAGATCCAGTGGGAGATGGCTGAGAGGGCCAAAAGGGGAAAGGAGATCTCTGTGCCCAGCCCCATAGAGCTGGAGGACATGGCCACCAAAATGAAAAGGGACCTGGAGGCCAAGGTCAAGCAAGGCACCCAGCTGGAGAGCAACCTGGCCAGTGTGGAGAAGGCCCTGGAGGAAGCTGAAAAGAACCTGCAGGTAGATAGGACTGGGTTGAGCCACCCCATGGAGTAGTAGGACCTTTGGGGAGGGGTTGGAGCCAGCTTTCCAGTCCCATGGACCAGTGGTTGAGTGGGGTTAGTTACCCCACCTGGGCAGTGAACGTGGCAGTGGGTGAATGGAGGTGGCTCAGCAGCAGTGATCTCTGTCGGAAGGACACCACCACTTTCACCCAGCTGGCACAGGGTCCCACACCCATTGCTCTGCATGCAAACTGCATCTGGGCTAAGGCTCCTGCTGACTGGTGCACTGGGAGCACAGTATCACCCTGCTCCAGCAGAGACAGTGGTGCTGGAGAGCAAATGGTCCACATGCGGGGTTGGTGGCATTGGCACAAGGGTCAATGTTATCTTGGGTGAAGGAGTCACAGAGGGCATGGCATAGGTCTTCATGGTGCCTGTGCATGAAGCCTTTTGACCATGCAAGCTGTGCAGGGGCTCAGGCTCATGGGAGGGGGCTGCACAGTGTGGAGATGGCAGCTCAGGCTGAGCTGTGATGCCCCCCCCCCAGCTCACCTGTTGCAGCCCCCCAACATCAGGGGGTCAAGGGGCTGCGTGACTCCTGCCTTGCACCCGCTGAGTCCCCTTTGGTGGAGCAAAAGCAAAAAGCTTTCACCCAGCCATGCAGTGGTAGCTGTCCTTCCCAAGACTGGCCATGCTTCCAGCATCTTGCCTTAAGCATCTCATTTGTGCTCGGCATCTCACAGCACGGCTGCCATTTGCCGGCTGCTCGCACCCTCTTGTGGAGATGCAGCAAACCAGGGCTGTTCCCAAAACCACGCCTTCCTCATCGCCACTGCCTGGGCACCCTCCTTCCTGCAGACCCTCGGAGAGGGGCAGCTGAGCCACGGTACTTCTGAGGTCCCTTCCACTGGCTTCAGCAGAGTGAGCCCCAGCTGGGGGTGCTGCCCCAGGGCTTGCATCCCCAGGTTGTGGCCTGGGGACATGGGGGGAACATGCGGCTCATCCTGTTCCCTCCCTCGGTGTGTGTTTTGCAGGCCCAGACCCAAGAGCTGGAGGAGTTAAATAAGGAGCTGAGGCAGTGTAATTTGCAGCAGTTTATTCAGCAGACGGGGGCCACGGTGACTGTCCTGCAGGCCAGGTCTGAGGAGGATGGCCCAGCCGGAGCCGAGCCCGTGCGAGCTGCCAGCCTACCGGAGAAACGGAGGTCAGCATGCTGCCGCTGGCTCGGCCACAGGGGCTGCTCCGCGGGACCCCTGCCCGCTCCCTGCCTCCTTCTCCAAGGCGTCAGTCCCAAAGCTGGCTGGTTCTGCCCTGGGCACTGAGGTTAGGCAGCAGGGACGGGGTTTGGTGCTGACACGACAGTTGCTCACCACTCCAGTGGGTCACTGAGCTTTGCCAGCCCTGGGGTTCCTTCCTCCTCCCCTCTGAAGCCTGGGGGCTGCTTGTAGACAGTCTCAGAATTCAGATCCTGCAGTGCTGCTTTAGGGGCTGAGGTGGCCACAGGGAGCTTTCCTTCCCAGCCTTGCTGCATGTCACCAAAGCAGCTGTAGCAAAAAGCAGGTGGCCAAGGGCCAGCATCAGTCCCCAGGGGCTGTGGGCTGGTGGGGACAGGCTCTGGCCACCGATGACCTCTTTGTGTTTGGTGAGGGAAGGGTGAGTGTGGTGCCCAGGGCCATGTCTGCATCCTTGCAGGGACAAGAGGAGGTGGGGGGGGGGGCTCTCACAGAAGGGGACCTGGTCGTTTCTCCTCCAGAGCACCTGGAGTGGGTGACGTGACTGCCCTGCGGCACTGCGGCAGCTGGGCCCAGAAAGCACGGGATGTGCAAGCCCTGCCTAAGCCAGGTGTTTTTCCCTATCCTGTAGGTTTTCCTCCCACCGCTGGTACTGACTCGCCTCCCCGAGTCAGCACCAAGCAGCTCCTCAGCCATCCCAGGACCCTGCCGGAGCCCCTGGTGTCCAGCCTGAACCCCGAGGGTGCGTATGTCCCGTTGGGGCCCTGGGAGCAGGAGCCAGTCTGCAGAGGATGGGTGGGAAGAGGGGAGAGGCTTTTGCTGCCCAAAATGGGCTGCAGAGAGCAAGCGTGTGCTGGTAGTGGGAGGCCGGAGCTATTTATAGATGCCATTAGGAAGCACAAAGCTCACACTCCAGCAGTCTCTGCTCTGCTGCCAGGGGCTCATATGCTGGTAGTCCAGCTCTCCGCCCTGCCAGGAGCTGTGGAGGATGGTCCTCACTGCGTCTCCTGCCACTCTGCATCCCCCAGAGCTAAGACCTTGCTGTGATTAGAGTGGGGAGAATTTGTCTCCTGTCTTTTACAGGAGCTACTGTTGCTCCATCTTAACAACTAGTTCTCCCCAAACCCCTTTCTACCTCCTGTTACTCTTTTTTCACCTTGCACCTATTTTTGGGTACAGAAAAGCGAGCTGTGGTGTCCTTGCCCGCCATGGCGATGCTGCCTCCATCCTGGCCTTCCATTCTCACCCGTGCCACCATTGCCATCCTCCTCATGGCCCAATACATCCATCCCCATTTTGCCAGATGCTGCAGCATCTGCATGTCCGTCTCCCAAGTTTTGCACTCATGTACATCCTCTTTTTGCTCCCCTTTTTGTGAGCACTTGCCCACCATGGTGGGATTGCTCAGGTGGTTTTTTCTCTTGTCTTGCAGTTGTATCAACCAGGCAAAGCATCTGGAGGTAGAAGGGCTCGGGCAGCGGAGGATCAATTGCCTTGCAAGTGTAACTGTATAAATAAACCATATTATATATATATATATTTTATATTTTTTTTAACTGCTTTATATCGTGAATGGATGTGGACAGCCAGACAGAGTATTTTTACAGACTATAAAATAAAACCAGAGACTGATGACACAAAGCAACCATCTTCCCCTGTGGATGAAAGTGACCCCCTTCTACTTTTTTTAAAGCAGTTTCTATATTCAACAGAAAACACCAGTGCTCCCATTCTGCATAGCCTCCTCAAAAGACCCATCGTGCATTTGGAAAAGTCCTTGTTCCTTTGACTAGGGGAGCAGAGCTGTGGTGGAGACCTGCCTGGAGACTCACCTGGATGGAGCAAGATAACCGATTTTACAGCATCTCGTCGCAGCAAGCAGGGCCATGGCAAATAGCCTCTTCCCTGACTGCAGGGGAGGCACAAGAGCAGCTTTAAGACAAATTTCTGCAGCTTTAAGACAAATTTCTGCCCCTCTTTTTTTATATATATGTTATAAGAAACCTGTAGTAGAAGCCCATTTTCCATGGTGCCATGGACTACACTTCAAGGGAACAATGGAGCACAGAGCAGGAGCTTGTTTTTCTCATATCCACTTAGATTTTCAACTTGTTTTTAAAATAAAAAATTGCAGAGTGAGCCCTTCCCCGGTGGTGGTGTGAGTGGAGAGCAGGACCAAAACACTCTTGGTGACATTTCCCTGGGTTTTTTTTTTATTTCCCTCCCTTCCCCCCTTGATGGCCAGTAGCTACTGTTTTGTTCATCTGTCCTCTGTCCCAGTGGGTCGCCTTGTATTTTAATTGCAAAACCAAAGCAGTTCGGGATGAGTTTGTCCAGATCCCCAAGCCTGTTTTCAACGCGTCATATGCAAAAAACGTGACTTGGGCACAGCGTTCACCGTAAAATCCTGCTTTCCCTGTGCAAATGTAATCCTGTGTGCCGCAGATCCACTTTTCAATAAATCTTTGGGAAAGGATTTGAGCCAAGCGAGCATGCTGTTGTGGGCCGGGTGAGCCGTTCCTGACAGCTCCTGGTCCGGTGCCTGACGGACAAATCTGAGCTGTTTGTGCACCCTGCAGCTGCCTCTTTCATTTCCAAGCCATCTCTTTCTATTTGCTGAATTAAAGCTGTAAGTATTTTATAACCAACTGAATCTTATGCACACAGTGCTCTTTTTTTTTCTTTTCTTTTTTTTTTTTTTTTTAAATCACAAAGTGCTTTACAGCCGGCGGATGCAGCTTGTCTCCAGTGAGATGTGGCCATCTCTGGGATGAAACATGACAACCTTTTAATAATGCACAGCAGCAGCTCGGAGCATTTTAGGACAGGAGGCAAAGGGGATGGCGCTTGTCTGCAGATAGGAGCAGGTAAGGGGAAACCTCCCATTTGCCTTCAAGTCCCTTTGTCTGCACCTGGATAACAGCAGCCAAGAATGGCAGCTCTTGCTGTCCATCAGCATCTCCCCTGAGACTCTGCTGGGCTGTGTCCCCAGAGACATGCCCCTCTCAAAGCCAATTTTCAAGGTGCTATCACAGCCACCAGGTTGGTCAAGTGATAATGAAGGATTAAAGTTTGTTTTGTTGGGAGATCAGTGGCATAGCTGTGACTCAGGTTACCACTGGAGAGCTGTGGCAGTGGGGAGATGCAATTTCAAAGTTGTCTTTTTTCAATTGGGACTTTTGAGGTTTTCTTGTGGGGTTCTTTTTCAAGGGGGTTCTCCTCACCTTAAACCATCTATCTCAGGGAAATTAGTTAAAAATTTATTTGCTCCATGCAGCTGCATCTAGTTTCTCCCATTTGCCTGCTTTTTCGGACTTTGTGCACTCATTTTTTTGGACTCTCTTGCTTTTTAAAAAGATTCCACCTTGCTAAGAGAAGTGGAGGGTGATGGAGGTTGCAAAGAGCATTTCAGTGCTGCTTGGGAAAAACACCCAAGAAGTGGGTTCAGAAAGCTCGCTTGCCTTGGATATGGCTATATTTTGGGGTGTTATGGGATGTCCTCTGCATGCCCTGAAAAACTGACCTCTGCAGGTTAAAAACTGGATCTTTCATTTTTGGGGCTGTATCTGTAGCCTTGCCTTCTGCAGAATAAATGGTAATGAAGAGAAAAAGGTCATCGCTTATGGCACTTCCTATTGGGAAAAACAGGGGCAGAAAATTAATTTGAATCTGATTTGGAAGGTGGGATTTTGCCCTCTGTTATGATTATATATTATTTATTGTTGTTGTGGGTTACTTCTGTTTAGTCATGATCTCACAGGCCAAACCAGCACCAGCCTTTCCTGGAGGAAGGTGTGGGAGGGTGTGGAAAATACAGGTTTAAAATATATATATCACAGCAGATTTTGGCCCTTCAGCTGATGCCCCTTGGCTGGGATACAGGATTTGGAACTGTTGCGTGGGATGGGAGACAGTGTAACTCAACCATGTGCCCCACTGAGGGCTGATAATCAGGCAGTGGTCTAGGAAGAGTGCTCTGGTCAGGGGCTAACTCTTGTTTTTTCAGCTCGAGACTGTGGCACTTTGCAGATTTTCTTCATTTTGTGTCCTACAAACCATCGCCCAGCTGCTGCCTAGGCAGCAGTGTTTTGTAAGGTAATAAATTACCTTGATTAACACCCCTGTCCCTGCTGTGGTGCACGTGGCAGTGGGGGGAGAGGCGTTAATCGAACCCACCCGTTACCTCAGGATCTCCCCAGCCGTGGGTGACCTATATTCCTCCCGCACGGGGGGCCTGCCATGGCAGGGTGAACGTGCGGGCCCCCGCGTGTTGTTTAACTGAGTGAGGCTCAATACCCACTCTGGCTCCCCCGCCCTCCCGCTTTTATCTGCTCTAAAGCCTGTGTCAATAATACATTTCTGCCATTGAATATTTTATTGATGGTTTGACTTTTTTTTGCTGCTCGCAATTCCCATTTCAAGGCTGCGTGATTGTTCCTAATTAAAATTTTATGCCCTGGGACAAGCCTTCTTGCTACAGTGGAGATGATGCTGTCCTTTTCTAGGCCACTACAGAGCAGTAGGAAGGAATTACCCATTGTTATGAGATTAAAACAAAGCAAATAAATTATTGTTTTTCCCTTGAAAAAAAACCCCAAAGCCCAGTGTACGATGCGTACTGGAGAGGGAACAACTGGCTTGCGGGCAAGGCAGGGATCCAAGCGTACAGGGTGGCTCGAGGATGCTGTGCCTGGCTGAGCAGGGACTTGTGTCCCCATGTCCCTCGGGCATTGTGGGCAGCTTCTTCCTTCCCTGTAGTGGGTGGGAATGGGCTTCAGAGCTTCTCCCTCCTCAGATGTTTCTCACTACTGGCTCCAGTGCCACCCAAAAATCACAAAGCAAAGGATATACCTGTTTGTAACTGGTGATCAGCCCCAGCTTTTTGCTGTTTTTGTTTCGTTTTGTTTTCAATTTGCAGGCTCTGTCAGCACAAGGCACCATTCAGGGGAGTAATTCAGCCACCTCCAGCTTCCCTGGAGCTCTTTTCTTCACTGCACTACCTGATTTTTAATTTTTTTAATTTTAATACAGCAATAGAAAAATCGACCCCATCTCCTCACCCATCTACTCTGGACTGTCAGCTCCTTAGGCCATGCATCCTTTGCAGATGGTCTGCATGCCAGCACTGCCCCAGGCCAGTACAGTTTCTCAAGGCACTTGCACCAGCCCCAGTTCGCAGTCACCGATTTGTACGAGTTCCTCAGTGTTTGGGTTTGGATTTTTTTTCCCCTAAATTTCATCTAGAGTGGTAGAAGCACTTGTGCTGCCTCCCAGCCCCTGAATTTGGCAAGCAGCTTTTAAAGCACACACTTCAGCTCCAGTTACATAAGGAAAGGTGTGAATGTCTGGAGGAGAAAATGCCTCTTGGCTTTGCTCCCCAAGTGGTGTCCAGATGCTCTGCTGCTCCTAGGCGCACAGCTTCTACCAGGGTAGTTCACTGCAGATGGAGAAGAGCTGCTTGAACTGGTGTGCATGTCCATGCAGGGAGCATTGTCTGCTCTCCTATGATGATTTTTCTTTCTGTCTCAGAGTACAGACTGAGTGCATTCTACCTTGCCCTGGAAAAAAGAAAATAAAAATCATAAAGCACTAGAGGATGCTGGGAAATTTTCTTGTTTATGGATGAGCAAGTTTCTCTCCCAATGGAACCTCCTGCCAGCAGAAATTTTTTTTTTTTTTTTTTTTTTAGGATGTATTATATAAGTCCCTGCTTGCATTTAACTAACTGACTTCCTCTTAAACAATTTATGTACTCCTTCTGTTCCTCATAGGCCAGCCTGCTCCTTGGGTGAGGCTCACCACGTAGGGCCTGCCAGTGGGCCACGTTACAGAGAGAACACGATAGGCGCTTCTCGGTGTGGTGCTTGGAGGGCTAGGCCTGCTCGCCTCCCTCCATGAGTTGCTGAAACAAGAACAAAATCTTTGAGGAGAATAGAGAGTCCCTTCAGCTCAGTGGGCCTGATACTCAGCATCTTCCCCTCCTGTAAGGCACAGCCCTGCCTCTCACCAAAAAGCTAACAGCACCAGTTCTGAGGGAGAGCACCCAACTACTCTTGTTACCAAGCTAAGTATCACCTTACAGATCTGTTTATTAGCTACTGAAAAACATGAAATTAAGGGGCATCACAGTCCTGGTGTATTTTCTCATTGCTCAGGAGCACTTGGCAGCCTTTGGGCTAGGGCAGGAGGGAAGGCACTGATGCCAGGCTTCTGCTTGAGGGACACCCTTGTCACAACCTTCTGCTCTCCTTTTCAAGCCACCTTCCCCAGCTCCAGAGGCAAAATAAGAGATGGGAGGCACAGGACATGCAGTGAACATCAGATACATCACTGAGAAGGCACAGCTTTCCTCTTCAGCTGGTCTGGCACCCTGGATTACAGTAATCAGCACCCAAACACTGGTTTTGCACTATTTATTGAAGGCTTCAGGTGACAGCACAGCAGGTTAGTTTTAATCACGCCCCAAGAATGTTAAAAACAGGAATTGAGCTGTATGCTTCCCCCCTCTTACTGGAGACACACAAAAAACCAGCAAAAACAAACAAGCAAACTTCACTTCGACCCCTTCCCTTTGCTTACTGGAGCTGAACAGGATGGT